GGTTCCTCGTGGCTATCTTTGACGCGTGAGGGCTCTTCAGTATATACAGAATTGATTTAAAACCATTGCTCAGAGCGTCACTTTTTTAGTGACTCATGCACAACCTGCTGGGCCTGAAAAAGATATTTTATACTGGTATTTTTTATTTTGAAACCCCCGAAGGGATATTTTTATTATTTTTTCATAAGACTATATAACTACAAAGAAATATATATGGGGGGGGGGGACTACAACTATGGATAAAGAAAAGATACCCACACTAACTAAAAACCCAAGAGAAGGAGATCATATCCGTGTTAAACTAAATAATATTAGTTTAATATAAATTAAAGTGTTAGTAAAGCAATATACTTGTAAAGTTCTTGTTTTTCATAGCTTCTATGTTAATATGTTAGTTATTATGAGAGAACTTTCTGAGCATCTTCCTTACTTCAAAAGGCAATTTTCAAAGTCCTTCTGCCCTTACTTCGGTTTTCTATCTCTGAAATCGTATACAACTTTCAACCGCAGAGTCCTCATCCGTTCCAGAGGTGGCAGAGTCACTTGATTTGGTTTCTTCGTCTTTGGGTTCTTCCCCCGATCCCAGCTGGCATCTCAAGAATTCCTTGGCTTTAAAAATGGAGTCAATCTTCTCTCTTTTGTCGTTGATTTTAAAGATGATACCTTCGGGGATTGCCCACCGGTACTGAATTCCGTTAGTTTGAAGAAAAGAAATTAAGTCCTTATAGCTTTTCCTCTTTTGACGAATTTCAAATGGAATGTCTTTTAAAGTCTTAATGGTTGTATTCCCTAATTTCAGTGGAGTTGCTGAGGTTGCCTTTAATATAGCATCTCTAGTCTGTCTTCTTGCAAATCTGACCACAATCTCTCCAGGCAGGCTATTTTTAAAAAATATAATTGGAGTAAGCCCGATAGGCAGTCTCCATATCTTTTACTATTTCATCCGCTGGTAAGCCTGTTACTGGACCAATAATCTCGCCCAGAGTCTTCTTCAAATATTCTTTTTCAGTTTCAGGAACTCCCTGGAATCTGAGAATCATGTTGGCCTTTTCCATTTGCAGCTGTAACAGACGGTTTTCTTGGAGGTTTTGTTTTGTTTCCACATCTCCCATTCTTTTCTTCATTTTCTTGTTTGCGGTGTCCATCTCTGTAATTTTCTCAGTCG